TTAAAACTTGTATAGTTTTTATTAGTTTTTTAGTAAATTTTGTTTAATTTTAAAAATTGAATTAAATTTGACTAAACTTAAGTATTTTTAATTAATTTTCATTTGCAAAACTAGAATTTGTTAATCTTTGTAAGCTGCTTTGATTAAATCTTAAATTAAATTGAATAAATGCAGCTTACAAAGATTAACAAATTCTAGTTTTGCAAATGAAAATTAATTAAAAATACTTAAGTTTAGTCAAATTTAATTCAATTTTTAAAATTTAACGAAATTTACTAAAAAACTAATAAAAAATATACAAGTTTTAATTTGTTCGTTTTACGAGGGGTGTGACCCCACCAACGGATCGCTCTCAGAACGAGGAATCTATTGGTGGGGTCACACGTTCTAGAGCGACCTGAAGCTCAAAACGCGTCTAGGGTTTCGGCCGCCTCCCCTGGTCTTCTGGCAAATCCACAGTGCATCGGTGCGACGCCGTGGATGTAAAGCACGCGATGATGACGCCCAGCGCAGCGCAGCGCGAGCCGGCAAATCCACAGCCACGCACACACACACTGGCACACTACCTCGAAATCGAGAATCGGGAATCGGGCCGCGCTATCTGGCTTGCGGTGGTTCCAGCGCGGCGATGGCATCTCCGGATCTCCGCTCGCCGCCACTGCACTGCAACACGGCCAGTCCGCCGCGTCTTCACATGGGCTTTTCTGCGACACTTTACCAAGTGCTCGCCTCGGCGGGGAGAGTGTTGCAACGAAGAGGCTTGTGAATGTACTGACTAAATATTTCGCAGTGGCCGCGCAGGGCGGCAGGGCTGAGCTTTCCACGTGGGCTGCAGGATAGGCAGGCGGACGCGAGCACGCGAATCGACGACATAGCCGGTTCCGGGGAGTCGGTTCCGCGGCGACCCTGGGCCGGGCCGGGCTTGGCTGGCGGCCCTCTCGCGGCTGCGGCGGCCGATACGGCGACAAGTGCTGACCCAAGTGCGATAGCCATCGCCCATCGCCTCGGAGCGGCCGCGAACTACGCCACAGGACCGGGCCGGCCCGGCCAGTGTGCCAGAGGCCCGGCCAGACGCGACTTGCGGGCCGGCCGACCGGACCGGACTCTCGATCGGCTTCCACAGAATCGCGGCACGGCTTGATTTAGAACAAACAACAAATGGCACCGGCCGCCGCTGGTACACTGCACACTCCAGCTGCAGGCCGACGCCGAACACTGCTCCGTCTCTCTCGGGCCACTCGGACCCTGACGTGAGTGCGAGAGAGACGGGGCGTTGTTGTCCGGGCCGCGCCGCTCATCAGCCGGCCAGGCTTCCATTAGGCGCGGCGACTTGCCCGGCCGCGCACGGCCGCGCATTGCAATTTCGAGGCTGGCGGTGCAGGCTGCGCGCCACTGTGCTCCGCCAGTGTGCCGGCCGAAGCGCCAAAACACAGGCTGTGGGAACGTGGCAGTCTGGCAGCCCGCCGGCGAAGCGAAGCGGGCGAAGCGCGGCGCGTGCCGTCACGCGACCGGGGGCACGCACGCCGCCACGCCACGCCACGCTAGGCGGACTGGACTGGCCCGTGGACCGGCGGGGCGGGCCCGTCTTGTCAACCGCCGCGACCCGTCCCTCTCGCACTCGCGGGGCGTCCCGAACGTCCCGAAGCATTCCGCGGGGGTGCGAGAGTGACGGGGCGACGAGTGGCATTCGGAATCAGTCTGTGCGCTGCCGGCTGTTCCCACGCCACGCCGGGCCGCGCGTCGCCGGCAAGCACAAGCGCGCCGAGAGGCACGTGGTGCGGTGCGGGCTTCCCTCATTCCGAGAGTCGGTCTCGTCGCTCTGTCTCTCTCGCACTCATGGGGCGTCCCGTATAGGTGCGACAGAGACAGAGCGACGAACGCTACTCTCGGAATCAGTCTGCTGGCCTGCAGCCTGGCCTGCACGCTGCAGCCGCGGAAAGGGGCCAGGACGGCCAGGAAGGAGCAGCCGAGTAGTAATGCCTTCCGCCATGACTGAGCCTGCGCTCGGCTCGGCTCCGGCTCGGTTCGTCTCCGGCTCGGCTCGGCTCGGCTCGGCTCGGCTCGGCTCGGCAGCGACGCGGCTGGCTCAGCCAGCGCGCGCCGCGCCTTCGACTGTTACACAAAACGTTTCCGAGGTGAAAGTGTTTCCTCCCCAGCTGGAGTACTGCCGTCACCCCCACCACCGCCCGCTCGGTGCCGCGCCGCCGAGGCCGCCGCGCCGCCGCCCCCGCAACCACCCGCAACGCACGGGACGGGACGAAACGGAACAGCGCGCAAGGGGCGTCGGTTTAAATTCGCCCTTAAATTTCGTAGCCAAATTTCTGCCGTCAGACACCGAGGACCTTCGGGCCACAAATTGCAACCACAGTCTATTGGACAGAAAAGAAGAAATGCAACCCAACAGCCCCTTACTCTGTGGGCGGTCTCTGTCGGGTTTTACGCCCCCCCGGGCGGCACACTTGAGCGAAAAAGCTCAGATATGCTGTCTCACTGAAACGGCCGCTATCTGGTAGTAATAAAAATCTTGTAAAATGTCGCCTCGCGAGCGAAGTGTCTTCTCTATCTCCGCCCATCCGCACCTGGGGAGTGGACCCTTCAAGGCCGCGCTCCCTGTCCCGACAAGCTCTCTGTGGAGACACCGCCGCCCCTCGCGCCGTCCGGAGACACTCCCTCGTCCCTCCGCGAATGCAGTGAATGCGAAAACAGAGGCTGGCGTGCGTGTCGCGCTGCAGATGCTGGAGATGATGGGGAGGCTGGTCCGCTTTCCTCCAGTGTGCCATCATCTCGGTGTCCTCAGCCGTGGCGCCGTCGCGCCACCTCGGCCAGCCCGGCATGGCCTGGCATGGCCTGGCAGCCACGCCGGGTCAACGCCCCAGACGTGCACAGCGCACAGCGCCGAGACCGGAGAAAGACAGAGACGCGACATTCATAGCGCCGCGGCGCCGCGCCGAGGTTTGTTTTGGTCCGGCCAAAAAGACGGAGTTCGGCCGGCAGCCGTTTGGGCGGCTGCAAGCTTTTGAAACTTTCGCACCTCGGCGTCGGCCTCTGCAGTTTCTCCCACCAGCGGCTGCCGGTCTCTCTCTCTCTCGCACCCACGCGGGGCGAGGTATTTTTGGTAAACCGAAAACTGAAAGAGGCCGAGGGCATTGAAAATGGATGCTGCGGGGCAGAGCGGGGCGTGGCGGGGCGTGGCGGGGCGGGGCCCCTCCATTGATACGAAGTGCCAAATAGGCCCACCGTGGACCATTGCGTAATGGTTTCCGTTGGCGACACTGGGGCAGGTCAGCACTCCACTACCGGAGATAACACTACTAGTGCCAACGCACGAAACTGCCATTTCGCTTTTTTTTCACCAGCGATCACGCCAATCATGCCGCATTATCATGCAGCGGCCCCACACTGGTAACGCCAGACGATGCCGACTTCTGCGACGACCTCCACTGAGAAAAAAGGAGACGATCCCACAAATTAGTTACAGTAGCAAGAAAATTGATGTATAAAATTTTATATCGACTTTTTCCGTTGCACAGACAGATTGTTTTGTTGTTCCAAAAAAATAATTCTTTTCACGAAATTTTGTTTTTACTTCATCACGGAGTAATCAACGAATTTATTTGTTGGGTCATCGAATCTTTTTTCTCTCCAGGTAAGTATATTATCCCAAGAGTAGACGCAGTCGAGGCCCCGAATATTCTTCGACGCAGTCTGGCATGGCGGCCGAAGACAGAGATCGCTGCTTTGTCAAAGTAGCATCCACTCATCTTCCCACCTCCCCACCCCTTCACCTGCTTTTGACAGGAGACGGGCGAGGAGGTAGCCACGCCACTGCTGCCCGAGTGGCGATGAAGATGATGGTGCGGATGGCCGGCTGGGGTCCGTCTCTCTCGCACTCATGCGACGCCCCGCGTAGGTGCGAGAGAGACAGAGAGAGACTCCCTGACGCTGGCGGTCATCCTCGTCGTCGGGACCGTCGCGACGGACGACCCGGGTCGGACTCGGCCGATAGTGCTCCTTATCTCGCGGCGCGGCGATCGGATCATCGCCTCGCTCACGGGGAGCGCGGCGACGCGGCAGCGCGGCAGCCCGGCTGCAGCCCCAGGGGCGGTGCAAGGCCGGCCCCAGAATTTGCGTCCAAGTTTAGCCCGTCTTTCGCGATAAACCCGACCACCAGCAGCACCACCACCAACACCACCACCACCACTGAGATAATGTATCCGACCGGTTCGCTGGGCACACTACAGTTGTTGTTCTATCATGGCACATGTTAAAAATGAAAATCAAAACAGAAAATGTTGGAATTTTGCATTGGCGTTCGGAACCCGTATCCCGTCCCCCAAGCTCTGGAGACCTGAACGCGCGGAGCCCCCTCCCCCTCCCCCCACCCCCCGATTCGTAGGGCCGTTCGGATGCCGAGATAATCCCGCAGCCCCGCCACGCCACGCCGAGACACCACGCCACGCCGCGCGCACTTCCCGAAAAATGACGGCGATCGGAAAAACACGCGGTGAGCAGTCGTGGCCGTCACGGGCACGGGGTGCACGGGGCGGACGGGGCGGGGCGCCTCGCTGTGGCGAAGATAAGGCGGTGTAGCCCGGCGTAGCCCTAGCGGTGTAGTGGACGAATCTAGATGACGCGCGGCGAGGCGGCAGTTTCGAAACGGGTTTCAGAGGCCCGGCCACCCCCAGCCCCCCGTCGTGGTGGTGGACCGTGGCAGGCATTGCAGCATCACTTCCGACGAGGATCACTTTGCACTGACTCACTCACAGGCACAGGGCCCACAGGGCACACACACACGCACGGGGTTCTAACCACGCGACAACACACTATGGGCCGGCCGAGGAGGGGGAGCACTTTCACTTTCGGGGACCCATCGCGACGGCGTGGCGTGACGCGTGCGCCGCCGCACGCACGCACGCAATGCTTGAGGTGACACTCGCGTACTCCAAGAGGCGCCGGGCCTGGCGGTGACGACCTGGTGGCGGCGAGGGACGGCGCCTTACCGTTCAGGATGATCTGGTGCTGGCGCCACAGCTGCTGGTAGTGCGTCCACCGCGCGGCGGAGTCCTCGCTCACGGGGTTCAGCTGGTGCAGCTGGTGGAGGTGGTGCTGCTGGGGCGGCAGGTGGTGCTGCAGCCCCCGGTGGTTGGGGACGTTGTGCGAGGGTAATCCACCGGTCATGTTGTTGTTGTTATTGTTGTTGTTAAGTCCGTGGTGGCCGTTGAGGCTGCCCAGCAAGGGCAGTGCGTGCGGCGCGTGCGGCGCAGGGCTCGGCGGCGGCGGCGGGGGCAGGCCCTGGAAGTCGGCGGTGGCGGCGCCGCCCCCCACGGCACCCACCCTCGCCCCGCCGTCAAGGTACTGCACGTTGACGGACACGCTGCACATGGACATGGTGCTGGTCCGGAGCGGTGTCCCCGTTCGAGGTAAAGCGGCGTCCAGCCGCTCAGCTCAGCTCCATAGCACTCACAGGATGCACTCACACTGCACTCACGCGCACTCACACACGCGACGCGACGCGCTCACTGCGGGGCCGAGAGGCGGACTGTCGGCATGCTCGAGGGTGGAAGGGCGGCCGGGCGTTTTTCTGAGTTTCACTTTCACCAGGACCCGGCCCGGGCCAGCCGCCCAAAACGCTGCCCCCTCCACAGACGGTGCGCCGCGCCGCGGACAGCCCGGCGGACAGCCCGGCGGACAGCCGGCCAGACGGCTGGAGACGGTCGGACCAGCGCGCGGACCGTCGCCCAGTCGCTCCGACAACACTTTTCTTTCCGTTCGAAGGGCGCGCGCGCACGCACACTGGGACTTCCCTCCGCGATCCAGCCACTCGGCAGCCACCGACACGAACCGGCGCGCTCTGCTGCCGCTAGCAGACTGAGCGCGGCGTGGCGGCGTGGCGCGGCGCCGCGAGGAGCGGAGTGGTGGGCTCGCGGTACCGGCCGCCCCGCCGCCCCACCATCACCGCCGCCGCGCGGCCCGCGCAGCGCGCAGCCCGTACAAACACAGGGCCTAAGTGTGCAGGCGCGGCGCGCTTCGGCCGGCCGCCCCCACGTGCGTGCCATCACCGCGATGCACCTCGCCGTCCTGGAGGCCTGGGGGCCAGGGCGCGCGGAGGCTGAACTCACCGTCGCCGCCGTGCAGCCCCGGCAGCACGCGGCGTGGACTCGGACGGGCCAGCTAGCTGTGGCGGGGCCGCGGGGCCGCGGGGCCGCGCTAAACACTTCCGTTGGCCAACACACTCACCTGCAACACAGAGAGCACACAGTCAGGCAGGCGCGGCAGGCGCTCGGCGCGCGGCCGGCGCGGCGTTCCCCTCTCGTTTTTGACAGTGTCGATCGCGGGGCGCCCAGGGCAGCAATTAGAGAGCGGGGAGAAAAGTCCTTCCTTATTGTGACGCCAAGTGCTGGCAGTGCGGCGGCAGAGGCCTGGCTGGGCCTGGCGCTCTAGAGAGGCCCGGGCAGGGCGGGCGCGGGTTCGATCCCCGGCGTCCCCGTCCCGGCATCACCTCGGCTTCCGTCTGGGAGACACATTGGACGACCAAGGCTGCTCTTATCTTGAATCGTAACGTGCAATGCACACCGTGGAAAACAGATTGCCACGCATCCTCACACGCCGCAGTCGGCAGTCCGTTTCACTGGCCGCAGAGCGCGAGAGTGCGTCTATCAATTTCCCATACTACGACACGCTATGCGCTGTTCTGTCGGGCCCATTTTCCCGACTCCACTCTTCTTAATTTTCTATCGCTGTCTCGACAATCTGTCCACAGGGAATGCCCGCCATCCTCTCTTCCTAGCAGCCGCTGGAGAGCCCCTGGAGTCCCTGGAGTCCCTGGAGTCCTTCGCGCGTCCCACGTGGCCGGTGGGGAGCAGAGCCTCGGCGCGCCGCCATGCTCGGGGCCCGAAAAACTTGGCTCTCACTTGTCCGCCCCCTCCCTCCCCCGGCCGCCCCGCCGCAGTGTCTAGCCCGCAGTCTGCGCCTCGCCCTCCGCGCCCCTCCTCCCCGCCAGCCAGGCGCAGCGGGGCGGGGCGGGGCGGGGCGGGGCGCGGCGGGGTGGGACGGTTTCGCCGCCTGAAATTAATGCCCATTTGTTTTCCAGTGTTTGCTCCGTACGCACCTCGAGGCCCAGGCAGCGCAGGCAGTCCGGCCGGCAGGAGTGCCAACTTTCGCGTTCCTTCCCTCGTTATCAGGCCTGCCCGGCCCCCCGGCCCGGCCCGCCCAAAGGCAGCCGAAACGCATATGTTCCAGCCCGGCGGCCAGGATCCAGGATTCGCCCGTTTTCATTACACCCGCCGGGTGAGATAACCATTCCGCGGGGAGGCGGCACGTGCACGCCACCGGCGAAAATTTAAATAAAATATTTTAATCCATCTCAAGGAAAAGAGCAGCGCGCATTCGCAGCGCGCATTCGCCGTTTTAAGGCGAAAACGGCGACCGCGTCTCGCCGCGGCGGGTCGAGCAGGGCAAGTACACACGGAGAGTGTGGCAGTGTCGTGTCAACACGCCGAGGGGAGTGTACCTTGATAAGTGCAGCGATGAAACAAGGCGAAGTCCGCGGGGAACACAGCAAAAATAAGAGGGACTCGCATTGTTTTGACGCGTGCATGCTCTCCGCCACCATTCCAGTGTCGAGGCGGAACGGGTGTGGGACTGGGATTTGGTGGAGAACGGGCGGACCCAATACGTTCATCAAAACGGCTGAATACAATTCACCGACCGTCATCATGGGTTCGGTGTATCAAATGCGTTTTCGGTGAAAAGTAAAAGTTGGGTATCTTGAGGCAACTTTGAACCCGAGTCGGCGGTGCGCACGGCTGCGCAGCTGGAAACTCTGAAACGCTGAGACACTGCAACACGTGCCTGCCGCGGCCACGCCACGCGGCCACAACACGGCGCGATCGCCTTTTCCGCGTCTAGAAACGGATTCGCTTTGCACGTACGCCCCGCCCCGCCCCGCCCCGCCCCGCGCGCCCCGCGGATGTTACATTGTGAGAGAGGCGCGGGGTCTGGATGAATGCACTGCTGGCAGCAGACGGCCGGCCCGGCCGGGCGGACTGGCGGACCGAGGCCCAGACGGTAGACAGACACGCCGGCCCAGGCGGCCCAGGCGGCCCAGGCCCATTCCGTCCCGTGGTCCGGGCCGCCCGGGCCAAGCCGGAGAAGGAGAAAGTACTCGGGAGAGATTTTCGGCGGCCTCCACTCGGCAGCCCAGCCCTGCCGGCCCCCACCCGGCTCCGTGGGGGGCGTCACCAAATCCAGTGACGTCAGCGGCAAGGTCGAATGCGCGCCGCCGCCCGCCTGCCTGTGCCTGCCTGTCTCCGGAGGCACCGGGCCCAACCGCACGCACACACTCGGGTTTCTCACACCCTTTCTCTCTCTCTGTCTCTCCTTCTTTCACTTTCATCCTCCTGTCCGTCCGTCCGTCTGTCCATCGGTCTGCCGGTCCGTCCGCCGTGATGGGTGTCGCCCCGTCGTTTGTTTCGACGACTCAATTAGGCCCTCGTCATTATCGACGTTCACTTGGCGGAAAAGAAAGACGACGCCGTAAATTGGAAGCGGGCGAAGCAGGGCGAAGCGGGCCGCCTGACGAGGACGGCCGGGGCGATGCAACACGCGGAGGCTGTGTGTGTGTGTGTGTGTGTGTGTGTGTGACGCGGCACCCATTTGACTGGAGTAGTGCGCGAACGCGCGAAAGGGATGACGGAGAAAGGGAGCGATCGCGGCACAGCAACCGCACAGCGTTTTGTCGCTCCCTCTCTCTCACACCGCTCTCCGTGCGAGACGCCGCACGAGTGCGAGAGAGACAGATCGACGACAGCGAAGTTCGAAATCAGACTGGCCCGTCAGAGGGCCCCCGAACTGATCTCACAAAACATGCTGGCCGGCCAGCAGTGCTCCGACGACGTCGCTCGCTGTCTCTCTCGCTCTTCTGCGGGGCGCCCCACGGATCAGAGAGAGAAGGGACTGAGACAGCTGGCGCTGACGGCGCGGTGGACCTAGCCGGTTAAATGGTTCCGGTTCCTGCCGCGGCGGCGCTGGCGGCGCGCGGCTGGAGCGCATTGTTGTCGGCGGCCATAGGCCCGGGGCAGGGCGGGGCAGGGCGGGGCAGGGCGGGGCAGGCCCACCAGGCCCACACGATGCAACAGGAATGCGGACCGCCAGGCCGTGTCTGCCATGCCGCACGCGCCGCCCTCACCTACACCTACATCTACCCCACCACCACGGCGCCACCGCCGCGCCACCCCCTCCGCGGAGGAGTGAGTGCGAACGACAGCGGTGGCGGGTTGGCTGGGCCGCAAATATTGGGGCGTGCGCGCGGACCGTCCGGGACAGCCGGCCGATTCCGAGAGTCGTTGCGACGGTGTCTCTCTCGCACCGCCACGGGACGCCCCATGAGTGACAGGGACCGACTCTCCGGGGTGAGTCTGCGGGCCGAGACAGGAACAGAGGCAGGCCGACGGGGCCCTGTCCTGTTCCGCCACAGTGAACAGCCAAACCCAAAGGGCCCAAAAGGTAGTGAGACGCGCCGGCCGTTGAGTCCCATTGTAATCCGGGGGCGGGCCAGGCCGGTGTGGGCACTGCCAGACACTGCCTGGCCAGGGCGAGGGGGTGGGCGTGCTGGCTCGGTCTGCCCGGCTTGCCCGGCCTGCCCGGCCGCTCTCTGTCCCAGTCCCAGCGTTCCCAGCGCACCGCATCCGGGTCCGCCGCATCGCCGCGCCAAGAGGCCGCCGACGACGCGGAGCCGCGGAGGCTGGCGTAAACACAGCAGCACCGAAAAAGAAAAGCAACAGTGTGAATGCGATCCATTTTGTCGGATTTGAGCGTGGCGAACAGAGCGATCCGGCCGGCAACTCGAGATAGCTGCACTGCAAGGACACGCACTTGACACTGATACGGCCGAGGGCGGCGCTGCAGTGTGGCAAGTGCGTGGCAAGTCTGCACATTCACACACCGCGAGTCAACAGCCGGCCGAGGAGTCTCTCTCGCAACCCCACGGGGCCTGCGGGGCACCCCATCATGAGTGCGACAGGGACAGACTCATCGTCGGCGACCTCGGCCAGCCCGGCCGGCCACCCGGGGGGCTGTGCCGCCGTCCAGAGACCGCCAGAGACACACGCCACACATACAGTGTACGGCCCGTTGCATAATAAGTGCAGCAGGGCAGTGCGGCGCGTGCAGCTTGCCCAGCATGCCCAGCATGCACACGCAGTCGCACTAATCTTATCGCTGGCGCCGGGCCGCTTTGCGCCTTGCCGCTTCAGGCTCGTCCTCGCGTCATTAGAGTGCACGCGCGTGCAGCGAGGCTTTGGCGAGAGGGCAAAACAGTGGATGGATGGATCGTCGCAAAGACGAGCGGTGGACAACTTCCATTTTCGGCCTTACGGAGGTAGATTACTTTTTGGGTATCACTATGATTGTTTCCTGATGTGAAGTGCAAACAGGTGTCATAAAGTGGTTTGGCGATAATATCGATCGATTTACAACGGCAACATCCAATAGCAATTCATGAGTGGTAGACGAAGAAGTGAACAACCACTCGGGTTCTGTCCCCACGAGGGGGAAATCACTCGCGTAATAGTCGGGTCACCGATTCCTAATATTACGCGTAATAGTAATAGCGTAATAGCCAAATTGTTTAAGATTTTCCCTAT